TCTGCGTAAGTACATCAGTTTCAGCAATGCTTTTCCAGGAATAACTTAAAAAGCAACAAGGACGGACATGTCAGTGTCTCAGAATGATGAAATCCTTGTTTTGCCTGATTTAGGAATAAATTTTCTGCCTTCTTCCTGATAAAGCAGGGATTTGCACTTATGACCCCTCTATCCTACACAGATAGCCTGTCTGACAGGCAAAGGATCCAGCCCCGCTGGCAGTGCCAAGAACATCCTCGTCTGGGGGAAAAGAAAAAGAAAAAAACCCCAGAAACCAGTCCAGCTTTCCTGCAGCACGTCATTCTCCTTTCAGTCAGCAAATGGGCATTTCAGCATGATTTCAGGAGGTAAGACCGTTCTCAATGTCCTGTTCCAGTTAGCACAAAAGTGCAGTTCAAAACCTTGGAAGTTGCCACCAAACAGAAAAGGTCTCCTGCACTTGAGGCACGGGCAGACGTAGCAGTAGCAAAATGACTGTGGGTGCATCCAACGGCACACACTCGGTCTGTTCGTGTGTTATGTACCTCTGGGTCCCAAACCAGCAAACGCTTGCACAGTGGCTGTGGACCTCAGCAATGTGTTTTTGCCCCAGTGTCTGTGAATGTCTTAATCGTTCTGTTCCTCCTCTCCCACCCTGGGCCATGGACACATCCCAGTGGTGATGTGGAGCGTGTCCTGCTCCCTGACTGTGCACTATGGTCAGCACCTGGATGGTCCTGTCAGCCTTAATCTGCAATTAGAGGTACAGGCAAGGGGCAGGATGCGGTGGTGGTGTTGCAGAGCCAGTGTGCCAGGCTTTCCAAGTGAGAGTTGCCCCTCCCTTGTGTGAAGCAAGAGCAAAGTTACGATCACCAACAGCCCATCTGACCCCAAAGAGGGGTTAGAGGCAAGCCCTGGATGCAGGCTAGACGAACACCACGGCAAGCCTGGTGTTGAAATGACACTGCTAGTCCTAGCAGTGTTGCATCAGTAGCTCTAACAGGTCTTTACAGAGGAAGCAGTGTCAGCAGTGCCTCCCTCCTTTGCAGCCAGGGAATGGAGCAGCACAGGGGAAGCGGCTCGACCAAAGCACCTCCAGCAGCTGGTGGGAAAGCAGGAATCAAATGTGCATTTCCAGGCCATCAAGCTGTGCAGACTGCCCTCTTTGGGGAGGAGAGCCCAGCCTCACCAGCACAGCGACAGGGGGCAAATGCAGTGCTGGTGTTTTGCCATGGGATAAAATGGCCATTGGGGCATTTCTGCAGTGGTGGTGCAGAGCGACGCTGGGATGCTCGGGCAGGGCTGGGAGCCACGAAGTGCCCAGGGGACCGTGAGCCATCAGCTTCGTCCTTAGCAGTTCGCTAACAGCAGTTGGCTCGTGTTCAGGACCTGACTCCTGCCTTGCCCTCTGTTATGCCACTTCAGTGAGCCCCAGATGCTCGCCGTGAGCCCCAGGATCTCTGCATGGTGCAAACAGCCTTTTGGAGCCCAGAGTCCCTTCGAAGTGGTTCCAGCCCTCCATGGCCTGACCAAGGCAGGGCTGGCTGACGCACATTCCCTTTTTGCTGTCTGCTGCTTCCACTCCTGCCCTTAGCTGGGAGACCACAAGATGCTGGCACAGAGTGGGATGAGCCCAGACAGGGCAGTTCAGCTGGGAAAGGAAGATCACAGCAAATAAAGGGGGAACAAAGACACCCTCAAGACCTACTGGCTTAAGATACAAGAAATGGCATGTTTTGGAGGAGAGAGAAGAGGCTGGCCTGGATCCAGAGCGGCAGAGGCTGGGTACAGCTGCCACTCCTGCTGATAAGGGCTCTGGTAAAGCTTGGCATGGGACACAGCCTGCTGCAATCAGAGTGACCAATAAATTCTGCTTGTTTCAACAAGGCTGTCACTGTAGCTGCCTTTTGCCATCATCAGGATGGTTTATCTATAAAAAGGGAAGATTCCCGTCTGTGGAAGTGGACATGGCCCAGTGTGGGGCCAAGAGATGAAGAACGACTTAGGGGATCTTCCACCCACACCAAAGGGAACAGCTGGCTGGAAGGATGCTCGAGGGAAGAGTCCTGGACATAGTGAAATCCATTCCAGGCAGATGGCAAAAGGGGCCCTAGTTTTCCTTCTGGGGATAAGCTGGGGATAAGCATGCTGCAAGGTATTGCTGTGGGTGCACTACGGGAAAGGAGATCTCCCTTTGACTCTGTGAACTGGAATAAAGCTACAGAAATTGCCTCTACTTGGCACGTTGTGATGAACATTTCCCCTCCCACCCTGTGCCACCAAACAGACCCCCCAACAGACAACCCCTGTGCTGGGAGCTCTGAGCATCCAAAAATTGCCAGCCAGGCCTCTGCCCCCAAGCCATAAAGCAGGTGATTTAAAAATGTACTTAAGATAAACTCTTTCTTATAAAAATGGATGAGATGGATGGATCCCCAGGAGAAGCCCCAAGCAGAGCACAGGGCTGTGACTGTCTGGGCTGTCGTGCCTTTGTTTTTTGCCAAGTGTCTCTCTGCCCTCTCACAGCGTACAGGGCTGCTTACAGCAAACGCTCGTGGTGTCCTGCCCGAGATCACCCTGCCATCCTTGCAGGCACCTTCGGGGCTGTATCTGCTTGACAGCGGGCTCGTGCCTCTGATGGTGTTATGGACCGCTGCCCAACTGTTGTAAACAGCCTCTGGGCCTGCCCAACATAGCAGGTTTCCTTAAAATGTCTTTGTGGCTAACTAATCTTAAAACAAAAAAGCCCTTGGAAGTCTTTCACAGGGAGTTTAATCTCATGTTTTTTCCTTCTGTCAGCTAACTGCCCTGTGGCACTAATGCAATTGCTGGAGATGATGTGAAAAGCCCTTTGAAGGAATCACTTGCCAGGATGGGACAATGTTCTCCAGCGGGGACACAGCGAGCTCGGGAGATGCTGCTGCCCACAGCAGTGAGCAAGGAGGAGCCGCGCAGGCTGGAGAGAGCCAGGCTGAATGAGAAGGAAGGAAAGAGAAGGTGAAGCTCAGCAAGCCGCAGGAGTTGTTCATCCTTTGTGTCTTCTCTTGGTTTAGCATCTCACCTCATGCCTGGGATGGGCATTTGAAACTGCCCTCGTGGGATGGTGCATCCAAACTGCTCTGGTGCCGAGGTACCGTAGGAATGATGCCACCAGCTCACCAGTCCACTCTGCTAATAAAGAATCTGGAAGCTGTGTCCGCAGAGCAATTTACTGATGTTACAGCCTCCTCATTTCTTATGTCTATATTAACTGAGAAAGCACGTGCATGAACCTATTTGCACACATAGCAGAACTAGAGTTGCAGTTAAGAGAATTTAGTTTAAGGTCAGGTCACCAGTTACAGCTGAAAGCAGAGCTCAGTACCTGACTGTATCACAGACTTCTTACATGATTTTAAGTGCATCAATGCATCCTACAGTGCATCAGGACCTTGTTTGCAAAATTATACTGGTAAGAATACTTTTATTCTTTGACAGCCTCCCCTGTTAGTAGGAAACACCTTGGATTGAGATGCTCTGTCAAGTAGGAGGGTGGAAAAAAGTCACAACTTCCGAAGATATAGTAACTGCAGGAAGTAATGGTATTGACCAGAGCTAAGGCTGGAAGAACTTACTGATGGTTTTATTTGGAGCAGGCAGATAAGAGAAAAGATAGTCCTCTTCAGATTTGTAAAGACAGTTGCCAAGAAGACAAGAGGACAGACTTCATCCCACATGCAGTGAGAGATCATCCCTGCAAGGATGTTTCTTAGGGCTGAATTGTTTTATGTGAACAAGCAATCTGATCAAGACAGCTCTACCAACAGTAGAAATGCTGCTTTGCCAGGGCAGCTTATTTCTTTTGGGGTATGAGGAATGTTATATATCAAAAGAACTCTTTTTTCAGGTATAAGCAGTGTCTGCACTCAAGAGTTTCTTAGTGCTAGTGCCTGATATAGCAAAACCATCGAACTTTTGCCATGCAGACAAGGTTTTATTGCATATTTCTGCTAGCAGTCTGAAAAAATAAGCATGGTTCCCTATTTGGTTCTGCCTTTTATTTCATGTACACCCCATTTCTGATTTGGTCAGGCTCAGAACTGTGCCCCAAAGCCACCCAGTTATTAGACTAAGGGACAGTCATCAGCCCCATATAGTAATGAGGCATTCAAAATCTAAAATAAAATGCTGTGTTGTCCTCTTCCTGGAGGGCCAGTAGATAAAATTAACATTGGACTGGTTTTGCACAGTACAGCCTGGTCCTAGACTCCCACTGGCATCAGGTGCAACTGACTGTCCACATGGGTGACATGTCTGGCTTGTACTCCTCATAGGACTAAGGCTAGGGGTAACACCGTGCTCTTGAGACCTGTAATTCAGATTTGTGCCTTCAAGGTGGATCCACTTTGAGGACAGGGAATTGCACTGGAGATGGGAAATAGGAGAGCTTAGGCTCAGAACAGCATGGACAACAATGATGGACAATGATGATGGACAACAACTCTGAAGCTCTTTGCCAGGACAGACAAGAAATGTAAATGCATTTAAAGCATGGGGCCTAGATTTGGAAGTGATCATTCAATCCTTGTTTCCCAGTAAGCCTCTGGTCCTTTGAGCTGGGGTGGATGACGCCTAGAGCTGTTCAGGATGAATCCCAGGAGTGCAGGGCACCAATGCACCATTACAAGTCTGAAAACACGGTCAAGGCGGAGACTGCAAACTCTTTGAACGTCACTGCCTGTCTTCTTGGGTCTGCAGCACATGTTCACCCCCAGCCTCCATCTGCCTCTGCAATACTAGAAACCTGCAGCCGGGGAGGAGCCATGCAGGCAGCTCCACCTGCACTCGGGGCTGCGAATACAAGTGCATGGGTATGAGATGATGCTTGTCCACTCAAAGGCAGAGGGGGGAAAGGGCCTCTTTTCCCCTTGGACAGCATCCAAAATTGCTATCTTTCCTTGCGCAGCCCAGATGCCTCCCCAGCCCCAACCAATAGCTACGTGAACTGAGATTAGGACAAGCCGTTACTAGTATATAAAAATCCCTGGGGCAGACTTCGGCTCCACTTCCTCATCATTGTTAGGGAAGCCCCAGACAAACCCTCTTGCTCGACACCATGGTGCACTGGTCAGCCGAAGAGAAGCAGCTCATCACCGGCCTCTGGGGCAAGGTCAATGTGGCCGAATGCGGTGCCGAGGCCCTGGCCAGGTAGGTCCAGCTCCCGGGCATCTGCTCAGCTGCACCCTGGATAAAGAAACCGCTCCAGTCACGGGAGCATTAACATGTCTGTGTCCGCTTGTGTCCCTCCATCTCTCCCCAGGCTGCTGATCGTCTACCCCTGGACCCAGAGGTTCTTCGCTTCCTTCGGGAACCTCTCCAGCCCCACTGCCATCCTCGGCAACCCTATGGTCCATGCCCATGGCAAGAAAGTGCTCACCTCCTTTGGGGATGCCGTCAAGAACCTGGACAACATCAAGAAATGTTTTGCTCAGCTGAGCAAACTCCACTGCGAGAAGCTGCACGTGGACCCCGAGAACTTCAGGGTGAGCTGTGCTCGGACTCCAGCCTCAGCTGGGCAGAGGTTTCTGTTCTCTGGAGAGGACTTTAGGGGTCTCTGAGGTGTCTGATAGTCAGTGAGACCTAGAGAGAAACCCTGAGGCTGCCTGAGCCTGGGAGCCTGCTGAGGGCAGGGGCGGTGGAGGGGAAAGGGGAGTGAATAGGCATATTTGGGGAGAATAGAGATGAGTTATGGAGCTGGGATCTGTGAGAGAAGGGACCCAGGCAGGCAAGGTGGATGGGGATGAAATGCAGAGTCGAATACGTGCCGGTAGGAAGCAACGTTGGCTTGGAGCTGCTGGAGACCAGAAGAGAAGAAAATGAGACAGGGTTTGGAGGGAAGAGCTGAGCTTGGCTATGAGGGAGTGGTTAAACCAGGAGAGAAAATAAACACAGCCACTTCAGCAGAAGGAGGGGATCTGAGCCAAGAGAAAGCAAGGGTGGGTAGGGATATGAAAGGAAAGGAGGAACCCAGTCGAAGCAGAGGAAGGACACTGCACAGCAGGCAAAGGAAGGCGTTTGGGGAGGAGGATCCAGCCCATCCAGGCATCCTGGTGAGTGCCAGAGATGCAAGCTGTGCAAGGAGCCTGGTGCTCTGCACAGGGCTGTGATAAATCCGTTCCTTGCTTTGCGATGAATTCCCCAATAACCGGTGTCCATGCGCGAACACCTGGGTGGTGCGAGGGTGGGGAGGGAGGTGGGGGGGCAGCACCAGGCTGACAGCTTCTCCTCCCTCCATTGCCAGCTCCTGGGTGACATCCTTATCATCGTCCTGGCCGCCCACTTCGGCAAGGACTTCACCCCCGCCTGCCAGTCCGCCTGGCAGAAGATGGTCCGTGTGGTGGCCCATGCGCTGGCCCACGAGTACCACTGAGCATCCCGCAAGCATTCATGCCCGGAGATGCTCCCGGCTCACGGGGAAACATCCTCTGGTTCTGCTGGTCTCTAATTGCCAAATAAACGCCAACTGCTTCAGCCATGAAGAGGTGTCTGCCTCTCTGTGGGAATGGGGTGGGGGCCACCCCGGGGTGCTGGGGAACGGGAAGGGGATGCTCACACACACGGGGTAACATGAGCCACGGTCTTGTCTATGAATTCATGCAAGTGAGACTCGTCTAAGCTGGAGAATCCAGGGGAACATTCAAGACAAAAAACAAATAAACACACTACAAAATATGAACAGAAATACTCTGGTGCTTTTTTGAGACATCAGGTAATATCATTGGGTTTAATGTTTTAAGTCTTTCACAGATTAAGTGGAACAAAACTTTGTACAAAAACATGCAGTGGGAGAAGTGGCAGTGAGATTAGGTCCATCATTTGTAACTTCCTTCGTGGAAGGAAAAATGCTTTTTTTGTTGTTTTTTGTCTAAATCATTACCATTCTCAGATTATTAAAGACAGAATGTAATAGACACAACTATCTATTATGGCAAAAAATATGCCAAGAATGGTAATTTCATGTACAGGAAGGATAGAGCATCTGCTTTCACTGGCCCCTACATCTAACTTTCCACAAGCAAAATGAAATTCCCTGAACAGTCTCCATGCCACGCAGAGGACCATGGCCCTCACCAGCCTCCTGTCCTCCTTTCAGACTCACAGCATCCCCACAGCACCGACAGCAGTTCAGGGACACGTTTGGGATTTCTGGGTGGTGAATTCCTCCCGCCCCCTTATCAGGGAGAAGGCAGAGCAAATGGCTCCAGATCAGGTCTGCAGTAAACACTGCACTGTTCAGCATAGAGGGCTGGGGAACAGTGTCACCCCCCAGGCGTGGCCCCAGGGTCCTTTGGCCAAGTCCCCTCCTGAAGTGAGCAGGCAGAGGAGAACCAGTGCAGCCTGCAGCCCATGGCCAATGCAAACATGTTGCTCCATGGTCATCCAGACACCGCTGGACCAGCTGGCATTCCAGTGCGCTGCCTGGGTCCGGCCCCACAAGCTCCATCCCTGGCCCCAGCGCCTGCATCCCACCATGTCCAGCTCGCTCTGCAGGGAGCAGGAGCAGATGTGCAGCCCCAGGAGACCCAGCTGCTTCTCGCACCACTTGGGAGGACCACTGCTGCGCCAGCTGCCAAGTCGCTAGGTCAGGCACTGTCTCCTGCTGCGCATCTGCACAGAACCCAGTACACCCAGTCTTCCCTACCTCTCCTGAGAGAGAGCTTCCCCTGAGAGCTAACACCCTGCAGGCAATTGGTGCGCCCTGCGTTGTAACATTTCCCTTCCAGCCTTGCTTGACCTTTGCTAACAGGCTCTTTGAGACAGGAGCTCTCTCTGACTACAAGCCACTGCCCATGGTTTTCTTCGTGTTGCCCTAAAGTTCGCAAACTGTTAAATAGCTGATAGGAAAGAACAAGGAGAACCCAAAGCCTGACAGGTCCTGCAAGAAGAGGACAAAGAGAAACTGCTTGTACACCGCTGGTGCATTCAGAGGGAGGACCCAACAGCCCCAAGTCCGAGTCTTCCGCCTCGCAACCATGCAGCCCACCGTGGTTTGCACCACCCGAGGGGCACCAAGACTTGCATGCACCCTTCTCCAAGGGCTTATGCGGGACTCGCACGGTGCCGTGCTTGGACTTTGCGTGGAGATAAACGCCACCCTTCAGTAGGGAGCTGCAGAGCTGGAAATCAAAGACAGGGGGAGGGAGGCCCGCCAGCCCGTTCCGGTGGTGGATCTGGGCATCTTGCCCTGGGGCCCCACCCTGACACCGCATCCCCTCCCTTGGGGTGCCAGGGCTGCGGGGCCCCCCCCGGGGGCCCAGCCAATGGAGGGGTGCACAGGGAAGAGGAGGGGCCCAGCATAGCGTATAAAAGTGGGGACGGGGAGACCCGCTCGCCAGCGTGCGATCCCTTTGGGAGCAAAAGCCAAGACTTCCTCCGTACCTGCCGGCAGCCACACGCTACCCTCCACCCGACACCATGGTGCACTGGTCAGCCGAAGAGAAGCAGCTCATCACCGGCCTCTGGGGCAAGGTCAATGTGGCCGAATGCGGTGCTGAGGCCCTGGCCAGGTAGGTCCAGCTCATGGGCATCTCCTCAGCTGCACACGGGATAAAGAAACCGCTCCAGTCACGGGAGCATTAACATGTCTGTGTGTCTGCTAATGTCCCTCTGTCTCTCCCCAGGCTGCTGATCGTCTACCCCTGGACCCAGAGGTTCTTTGCTTCCTTTGGGAACCTCTCCAGCCCCGCTGCCGTCCTCGCCAACCCTATGGTCCGTGCCCATGGCAAGAAAGTGCTCACCTCCTTTGGGGATGCCGTCAAGAACATGGACAACATCAAGAACACCTTTGCCCAGCTGTCCGAGCTGCACTGCGACAAGCTGCATGTGGACCCCGAGAACTTCAGGGTGAGCCATGCTCCTGACCGGGGGACCCCCATCCTCCCCACTGCATCTTTGTAGGCAGTTTCTCCCCTAACCCCGAGCCCCACCATGTGAGGGATTTACCCTAGACATGCTGGTGCAGGAGGAAGAGGGGCTGGTGTTGGGGCCAGAGGGAGATGCAGGAGAGGGACAGAGAGGGAAGGGACCAACCTGCAGCGTGGTGAGAAAGCACCAAAAGGGCTGAGAGGTGATGGTTACGGAGGGACCATCTGGAGGGTGCAAGTGAGGATGCACAGGAGACGGGAAGGCAGTGAGGGGGTGTTTTCAGTGTGGAAAGGGAGGGGGTGAGTAAAGCAAAAGCAGTTGTTGAGCAGGAAGAGGTTTGAGCTAAAGGGAAAGCGAAGGAGCAAGAGCAAAGCTTGGCACGGAGGAGAAAGGAGAGATGAGCGAGGAGCAAGAGATGGCAGCTAGATGCCAAAAGCAAAAGAGGAGTGGGACCTAGAGGGAGAGAAAACTTTGGCTCCCATGTCTCTGCAGCTGAGAGTTTCCTAGTGGGGAAGTAACCCTGACATTTGTCACTGGTGCTGGCAATCTCCCCTGCGTCAGCATGAGCTCCTTGTTCATGCCAGGGTGCTTTGCAGTGCCGAGTGCCGGCTCCCTGCCGTGCAGCAGACGCTCAGCTGTGTCTTCTGCTCGGGAGAAACTCCCAAACAAAGCCAGAAGGGAGGAAGAAAAACTTAATCAACAAAATTTCTTGAGAATTTTTGGTTACTTTTCCCATAGCAGTAGCAGAACTTGAATCTTTAGAGTAAGAGCAGAGAACAAGTTTAAGGTACATCTTAAAAAGGACTCCAGGGAGATTTTTAAACCTACAAAATGCCCGGAGGTTTCCCTGGGTCTAATGCGAGTGCTTGCGTGGGGATCTGCAGGCTCCTGGGCATTGCTAACCCGAGGGTGCTCTTGTCCCCCCAGCTCCTGGGTGACATCCTGATCATCGCC